TTTTTCCTTTAAATTAAATGAACGTTTTAAATTAATAAATAAATACTAAATTTTTAATTTACCATTTTATACATTTTTATTTTCAAAAACATTATATTTAATTTATAAATTTTAATATTTATTTTATGCTTCCTATCCTAAATATTATTAATATTATCAATTTTATCATATTTAAGATTTAAATTAAAAAAATTAAATGAAATTAAATTAAATAAGGTAAAAAATATTTAAATTAGTGATATATTTTTGATAAAACATCCCACATATAACGATAGTAAATACAAAATCACGCGACTGAGTAACACCTCAACGGCGCATTATGCTATTGACCCAGTAGGACCTAGCGAACTAAGCAATTAATTTTTTATATAAAGCACCCCATATGTACTGTTGGTAAATACAAAGTCACGTGTCTGACAAACACCCCGTCAACCCATTAGGCTATTGACCCACTAGGACCTAACCGAATCTGCTCTAATAGGTCATTCCACTTAGGATAAAGCTAAAAAAATATTTAAGTTTTTTTTTGTCTTTCTAGAATTATATTGAATAATTAGATCTTTAGTTATGTCGGAAAAATCTAGTCTCGTACAAAATGACCCCTAGGCTGTGTGGCTTATCTTTATACGATTAATGGAATCATCTGCTGAAACTTGTAAAGTTTATCAATCAAATCTGATAAAGTACCTTTCTAGTTCTAATATTTACGTACAAGGATTTAAAATTGTGTCAACTTATCAAATCTAATCAAGATCAAGGACTTGACGGTCAGTGTTTGTAAAACGTACACTCCATGAATTTAATATTTAAATTTTAAATTAATTTATTTTCAATTATCCTTCTTCTAAAGCTATAATATTGGATTTCTTGTTTTATTCTTTTCTAGGGTTTAATAGAGTTTAAAGGGATTATTAATACACAGTTTAAATAACCTTCATAATTACAATATTATATTGTTGTTAAAAGTGATAAAAACGCGGGTGATAAATAATTTAAATTATTATATTCATAAATATATTGTTATAAATTAATTATTTAAACAAATTATTGTTATATAATTTAATTTATTATTTATTTTTCCTTTGAAAACAGATGGCAAAATTTATTAACAAAATTCATTATATTTATTAATTATCTTTAATATCGATTTTAAAATTTTATATATGTAAATATTAATTTATAAAGTGCATATTTATCAAACAAAATGTTAATTAATTAAGATTTTATAAAGATTAAATATTTTTCTGAATAAGAAAAAAAGTGTTATTGGAGAATAAAAATATACAGGTGCGCTGCTCTTTACAGAATTTCATAATTGTTCTTCTTCATTTTAAGCAGAAATTATTTCTTCCTCATAAAAAAGTAGAAAAAAAACATGTTTTGAACTTAAATTTTATCATCCTGACAATCTGCTTCATCCTTTATCTATTCGCATGATCGATCTTCAACTTTTCACCAGGTCTTAGATTCATTCTTCCATTAATAATGGGTGATTTAAATCATATTTAGAAACGTCTAAATGCGTTATTTTGGTGCAAATAAAGTTTAAAAATGTTTATTAACTATCAATAAACAATATTAAAATATTTTTCTTTCCTTCTGATACCAGAACGTTTCCAGACTTGAATCTTGATCGCATCAAAGATGAGGAAGGTATGATTCGTTTTATCTTTCTATATTGTACGCTAAAAAAATTCAAATCCAATCCAAAATATGCATAAATAAATGACTGACAGTAATAGGCAATAGTCAAAAAGTTTTCATTTTACAAAATTTAAAACAATGCCCTATTTTCTAATAACAGTTGAAGATTGATCGCTTTCTTCTTGAGGAAGTAATCATTTTTCTCGGAAACAAAGATAAATAAATTTATAATATAATTTCATAGTTTTATAAGTAGGTTTATAGGATGGGAATGATTCATTTCGAAAAATATAATTAATCACATTACAAATGATTAATGATTTATTCTTCTTCGTGGACTTTAATGATTCTATGGAAGAAAATATTATTATTATTTGAATAAATNTAAAGAATTCCATTTTTAGAATATAATTTATTGAAATTCGAATTTTAATTTAAAATAAGAAGGAGAAGAAGAAGAAGAAGAAAATGATGGAGGAAAATCAAGTAGTCAACGAAAGATTTCTGTCATTCCTGAAATCTATGATGAAAGATGAAAAATTGAGTATAAGATGTCAGGAAGAATTCGTAAATATCATCCAGAAAAATACAAAGATTAAAAAGAAACCGATACGAAGATTTATTAGAAAATTTGTTCCTGATTCGTTTATTAAATTAAATAGTTGTAGTAGTAAAAGAACTAAAGATACTATAGAAAAACTGGGAGCTTACGAGAGAGAAATGTTTAGACCGACTCCATCATCCATAAAGAGCGACGAAAAAGAAAGACTTCAAAATATCATGGCTACAGGAAAGCAAAAAATCGAATCTTCAATTCCTGCAAAACGTTTGGAGAAAGAAGATGAAGATAAGTTTTCAGAAATCTTAAATGAAATTAAAGAAAGAGAAGAATTCTTAAATGAAATGCAGCAAATTGGAATGGGAGAACGTTATAATTCTTTAATAAGTAATCAAATATTTCAAAAAATTGACGAACTTTATCGAATCGATAAGAAAAAATGCAAAAAAATTGGACTTTTGAAATTTCAAAACTTTAAAAGATCTTCTATTTTGAATTATGGAGTGTAAAATATTTCTTTGGCATTTTATTTTTAAGATTTAAAATTTATTTATAAACGAATTCAAAAATAAATAGGACAAAATTGAAGAGGAAGTTAAAAATGTCAACTGGTTTTTTTTTTCTTCTTTCTCTCCATTAATTTTGATTTCTGGTAATAACAATCAAAGATGTATAAAATGATTGATGTGGAAAGAGGCAATTTGATTCAATCATGCGTACTGACTGGGACAGGTCATACAATAAACCATCGCTTCATCTTCCCTTATTTTATACGTTATAATTTTATTCCTTAACATTATTCATAGTTTATACAATAATAAAGTTTGAAAATCTTGAATTTTATTTCATTCAAAACAACAAATCAATTCAACAAAAGCAATTTTTATAATAACAGCTCTTCTTAGAGGTATATACATGCATATATTACTGAATATAAATCGTTCTAATTTAAATACTTCCCTTTATATAGGAAAAAGTAGCATCATTACCTTAATTATTCGATAATTTTTATAATTTAACCGTGACAATTTTGACCGTTGATACTATATAGGGTACAATTCAACAATTCAAATCGAAAATTATACAGTCCTAAAACAATTTTGCCCTATGTAACATCACGATACGGGGTCAAATATTGTATTTATAGTTAAACATCGCAGGAAACTTCGAACAAATTCATTAATCTTTGGATTAACCTGTTAAGACGGACAGTACTTTGACTTTTACACATCTACATTTTTAAAGTGAAAAAAAGGTTATATAATTTAACACCTGCTGGATATAAAGTATAATGTTTCAGTAATTATAAGTTATAAATTGCAAAGAAAGTAGAAAAAGTGTTTCTGTTCATTCACGCGTAACTCGATAAAGTGATAATCTTTATCTTCTCTCGTTTTTTTAGATCAAGTCCAGACCTCCTCATTTCAATCCAGTCGATTACATATTTTTTCTTCGACGACACGTGATTATGGGGAGAAATAAGTACGAAATCGATGATATCAAGGAACAAATAAATGTTCCTCCGCTTTTTGACTTGTTAAAGAAATTAAAAGATGATTTTAACTATTCATTTATAAGGTGAGTTTTCTTTTTGTTTGTAATATCTAAAAAAATCAATTTTCATTTCTAAAAATATAGCTTTTTTTACAGTTTTCAAGACGAATTTATACATCAGAATGGAATTTCTTCTCTTATTGATGTGCTTAGGATTTGTCAAAATCGTCAAAGTTTACCCGAAAATCAAAGTCGTCCTCAACATTTAAAGAAATTTTTGGTAAATAAATTTTAATTACTTAAATTCTGCATCCGTACGTTTTTAATTTTTAATAAATTTATTCCGAATCAGCATATAAAATACCTTTAAAAATATATTTTAAACTTTAAATAACTGCTAAAACTGCACCCTGATTTTAAAAAAAATCAAGCATTTGATCCGTTTAAATAAACTTAATTAATATATTTTTACATTTTATTAGTAGTAATTAATCTAAAAAATGGATTAACATTATATAAACTCGATTTATTTATTACGAATTAATTTATTTACATTTATAATTATTTTGTTGTTTATCCGTATTTTAGCTGCAGGAAACGAAACTAAATTATATTTATTTATATATATATAGATTTATTCGAGTGGAATTCTCAAGACAATGACAATAATTATCGAACATGTTATAAATAGTAAATTATTGAATACATTAACATAATCTCTAGGTTAAAAACATAATTAATTTTATATACGCTATATTTATACATTATAACTTCGTACTTTACATACCATAATATGAAGTTATGCGAATAACTTGTGAGACAGTTCCTGGTTTTATTTTTCTTTTTATTTTTTTATAAGATTAAACTTGTGCTCAGGGTCTTTATTAAATGGAGGTCAAAAACGAAAATTACTGCCGTTGTTGCAAATCTCTACGGTTTTTATTTGTTTAAATATTTTATATTGAATTCCTTTATTTAATTATAAGGTGCATTTATATTTTTTATTACAGTAAATATTTGTTGTAAATAAGAGGAAGTTTTCGTGTATAATCTTTGTTTACGTGTTTCAGTTTGTTTGTTTATAAAATCATAATAAATAGATGAAACTCGAAGTGAATTCTTTAAAGATTAAAGTGATATTTATTAAAAATAGAAAAAATTTCATATAAAGATTTAAAAATGTGTATTTATATTATAATTTATTAATATTTAATATGGTTTAAAGTTTGGGAATTTCACTAGAGCAAACGAAATTGGAAATAGTTAATACTGCATTTAGAAATGTTTATATCTAATCGAATTATTAGCTAATTATATCTATAAAGCTCTACAAATAAAATATATTTTGAAGACTAACTGAAGACAATGTGAAGTAACTAATCATTTCTTAATTGCACTTCTAACTGAATTATTCGCTAATCAGCAATTCATATTATATACTTCACAAAACTACGAATAATGATGATCGTATTCTAGGAAAAGTCTTGCTAATTTTAATTATTAAATTAAATTGCAGTCCAACTATTTTGTAATTGGACTGCAATTTGAAAAAAAATTGTAGATCTATAAATTCCCACTGTCGTCCGTCCGTCGGTCTTTCCTTAATCTCAAGAATGGAGTTATATAATTAAAATCTGAGACCAAATATGGAAACTTTAGGGGCAAGAGAGTCTGATTAACTATTTGAACTTCCGATATAGACCTAAAGTCACATTATTTCAATTTAAACGTTTTTCCCTGAAAGCAGTTAATAGATAACTGTGATAGCACGACTCTATTGCTAGCAGCGAAAGTATAATATACAGGGGAAAGACACTACTAATTTCAGGTAGCGAGCATATATTTTAAATTAAATAAATTAAAAATTTCATTATCAAACTTTATTCATGTCCTTGTTCTTTCCAGAAATCTATTAAGTATTCAAAGTTTAAATGATTAAAAACCAAATAATATTTAATTAAATTTGTATTTATTTTTGAGAATGTTTTATACATTGTAGCATATCAGGGTTCTATAAATCTTCTATAGAACCCTGATGATTTGCATTTATTACGTAGCAGAAACGAGATATAAAATAGTCTGGTGCAATGTTTGTGTCTAAGTCCTGTATGTATACAAGCCTACATATTTCTTTTTATGTGAACTTAATTTAATGAATCAACTATGAATTAAAATTAAATTAATTCATTTTATTTGAGTTTGAAATTAATTATAATTTATAAATTTAATTAATTAATTTAATAAAAATTATGAGTTAAAATTTGTTAGGTGTTACAATCTAATTTAATTTAAGATGTTATTATGTGGTCTGAACTTAACTTTCATCAATTTATGCGTATAAATAATAAAATTAAAACCATTTAATTATTTAAATAAATAGCTAAAATTAAGAATAGATTAATAGATTTTTTAGAATCATCTAATAAAGAGTTCTTAACATAAATTCATTCCTTTATAGTAATTAGACTTACAAAATAAATAGATTTTATATAATGAGATTACCTTAACTATTTTCAATAGCATTTATCCATTTTATAAGGCATTAAAATTATAATAATTTAACTTAAGTCAAAAGTTACATGTCATAAATTATTTCATAAACATAAATTATTGTTCGTAATATAGCAGTATAATTACCACATTTTAGTTATTAAGTAATATTCTTATTCCTTAACAATTTTATAGATTTGATAGTCTGATGATTTATTATACTCGTAATTTATTTTTTAAAGATATCTGAATTCTTTCAAAGCTAATGAAATTATACATATAATAAATGGTACAGTATATCACACTATAGAAAATATGTTTAACAATCCCATTCTAAGGGATCTTGAATGTTTTTTTTATATAGTCTCCTATTGTTATATAATATAATCCAGGAAAAATAAAGATTAATTTTTATTTTTTCCTGGATTATATTTAAATAGACACTAAGTGTGTCTATTTAAAATTAAAAATATGTTTCAGATTTAGCCTACCAGTGGTAAAGGGGATAAAAATACAAGTAGTTAGTCGTGGGTTCGCGCCTGGTCAATAGGCTGGCTACGTGGAGTTTTCCGTGTTTTCTTCACACTTCTAACCTTTAAACAGGGGGCCATAACCTTTAAATACTTTTTTCATAGAAAGTAGGGTAGATGCATCCCGGGATTCCTCCACTATAACAGCTTGCCCACGTGTTGCATTACCGTATCCTATCAAACCTCCAAAATTTATTTTGTCTAAGGTCCCTAAATTCGTAGCGCATTACAGATTATAATATTACATTCAGTATACCGTCTGTATTAATCAAAATGCAAGAATAGTAAAATTTAGAAGAATTCAAAGAATTTGTGAAAATTGGGAAAAAATTTTAATGGCTAAAATCCCTTATTATGTTAGATAATAACCTCAAAATATGTTTTAAGTTTAATTTTTTTACATACTTTTTTAAAGTTTTAAATATAAATACATTAAAAAATGAACAAGGAGGCAAAATATATTATTAATAGATATAATCAGGCCCACTTACAGTATAGCTAAGCGAGGTTATTTGATCCGAGATTCAAGCCGAGAAGTCCCAAGATTTATTCTTTTATGTTACGAAAGTGACATAAATTTAAGTTTCTTTTGATAAGTGGTAAAAAATCTATTTTTATTTTTTTATCGATTTTATTCATATGTTTTTACGGTTTTAGGAACGAATCATCCCCCCACATTTATAATTGGTTCGGACATCATCTTATCAAGAGATGCGATAATACCCTAGATATGTAACTATCATTATAAATATACAGTAAAACCTGTCTGAAACGAACCTGTCTAAACGATAAATAAGTGTCTGTGCAGAACGATTTGCTGTATGAAATACAATTATAAGCCGGAAATCTACCTAACGCGAAAACAGAATTTTTGATTACCAACAATATAACATAATCTGAATAATAAAGTATAATTTTTTGGCGTAACAAAAGCCAAATTCTATAATTAATACATTAACTTGCGGACTCGAATGATGATCAGCTTCTTCGTAAAAATAATTAGTTTGTCATTTTTACTTTTCCGGCTATTATATATAACAGAGGAAAGTATAGCAATCGATCAAAAAATGACCCTCCAAGATTTTAAAATTTTTGGACTTAGGACACTTTGAAACGTAGAAAAATGGAAAAAAATCGGGTTTTTTTCTATATGTATGGATATGTGTGTGAGGGGTAGACGATTTTGTTCACCCTGTTTGAAGCTTAATAACTTTTGTGCATTTTGTCGAAAATTCCTGATATTTTGCGAGGAGGTTTGTTTATTAGAGGAATTGATTCTATTAAAATTTGGTGGTTAAAAGTTGACGGAGTGGGGAGATAAACGGGGTCGCGTGTATCTCCAGTAGGATGGGACTTAATGACGATTTTTGTCGTTACAGTAGAACCTCGAAAACTCGACCTAATGTGGACCGAAGGGTGGCCGAGTTTGTGAAAATGCCGAGTTATCGGGAATGGGGTTAAAAAAATAAGTACGAGTATTTCCTCAGAAAATACTGTACAAGCTGTCTATAATGAAAATTAATTAACTAAGGATTTTTTCGCCCTGCCAAGGTGTGGACCAGTTATCCGGAGTGCTAAGTTATCGAGGGACGAGTTTTCGAGGTTCTACTGTATTAGCATTTACAATTGTTTTTATAAAACTCGTCCCTACCCTCAAAATTAAGCTTAAATTTTATAATAGTTAGAAATCTAATAAGCTTTTTAATAATATATGATAACAGATGGCGCCACCAAAATTTTAAATGTTGCCGAGAAAGTGGAACAACTCGTTTTTCTTTGTTAATATTATATTCTCCGTAAAACTTTGCAATAATGATATAACTCTTTCTCGCCTATTTTTTCTTAANATATATATGAATTTATTTTTAAAATGAATTTAATCGATCTAGCAAATTAATATTTAAAAAAACAAAATTTCCACATTCTTCAGAACAGAATTTTCTAGTGATGTCTTTAATCATATTTTCAGTATTACTAATGTAAAATTTAATTATCAAATAAATGTATTAAAAGAAAGTTAATAATAAAAACTGTGTGTTTAAAAATAAAAGAATTCATTTAAATGATATATCTTACATAGTTTTCAAATAAACAGTCTTTAATCAGTGACAAACGTTCATTGTTATCAAATAGGAATACACAATAAAAGATCAATTATCTACTCATAATTTATACTGATATTAAATTATATATATTTTACAGTTAATGATAAGTTTTAATGTGGGAACAATTAATTAAAGAGAATTTTAAAAATAAGAGCATTTAATATTTTTCAGTTGATTTTTTTTCTATAAACTTATAGCTTATTCAATTTTATTTTTATTTTTCCTTTTCTCTTAACATTTTGCTGATTATTTGTTGAAGTTTGTATGTAAATATTGAAATTTATGTCTATGCTTATATATACATAAATTGAGATTTATGTATATATATATAGATATATGTATAATTGTTTTCTAATCTTTAACTTTTAATAAAAGTACAGAATGATCCAAAAGTCAATTAACCGCATTTTATTTTGCGTGTGTCCTGCAACACTCGTGAATATAAATTGCAAACTAAGTATAGAACAACATTTTTTTCTTCTTTACAGAATTGTGAAAATATGAATATTTAACTAAATTAAGTATATTGTTTTTGGTTAATTTAGTTAATTAATTGCAATTTAATTTTACTACGGTTGACTGACTTTTGAGCCACCCTCTAAGTATACCATATAATTTTATTTATTTTTTTCAAATTATACATTAATTACAACTGCAATTGTAAAAATTACTGGCATAATAATTTATAAATTACAGTATATTTCCAATAAATTCATTAAATATAATAATTGAAACTTTAGGAATAACGTAATTATATTTTCTAAAATTCTCTCATCTTTCTTCGATATCTTTAATCAAAATTATTCAATATTTTATAATATTTATAGATATAAGGATAATTTGTTATTAGAATTCGGTTGTACATTTATTTAATATTTATTTTTAAAGTATAAAATTATATTAAAACTGTTTAAAATGAGCTTCATTATTATATTTTATCTGTTTCCAGTCATTTTTTAACTATAGTAAAAATAAAAATTATATTCTTTATTAATAATTTGGATTGTTTATTTTTAAAAATAACGTTTAATTTTCTGCATATGTTAAAGCATTTTGTGATGTACTGATATTAAATTATATATATTTTACAGTTGATGATAAGTTTTAATGTGGGAACAATTAATTAAAGAGAATTTTAAAAA